CCAATCACTGACACAAATTCATTTTAAGTACACGTCCTTTAGAGTCACATAAAAGAGACTAAATGTCTCAAGACAAAGTCATCCATTATTTTCAACCTTTAGTCTAACTTAAAGCAGTTGTGCAGCCTTAGCAAAATGTCAACCCTACAGACCCAATGACAAAAACTGCCCTTATGATGGTCGTCATCCATCTATCATAGGGCACCTTGACTCAACTATGACATTGACTCAAATATAAGAAACAAAATCTTTTTTTTACGGTTCAACAAGACTGTCCTTGGCCAAAGAACCGAAAACAACTTCCAAGGAACCCAAAACAAAATAGAAAAAACAAAAATATTTATACAGATATAATACTCCCACCCCACACTTAAAAATGCAATACTGTCCCCAGTGTGACATATATCAAAATAAAAGCAAAGTAGGGCGGATGTACTTCCCTGATCATTCATCCATGTCAATATCAGTTTTGGTGCCCTCAAGAGCCAATAATTCACCCTCCTCTGCATCAGAATCAGATTCACTCTCCGACATGGTTCGTCTCTTGTCTTCATCGGTTGGAACATCATCTCATACGGGCTGCAGAAATGCAGGCCCGAGTCCCAGCAATGCATTATCATGTTCATTTAGAGGGTACCTCGTTGCAATTTCGTCCAACTGCTCTTGAGTTGAAGCTCGATGCCCATTTCTATGGCACAACATTTCCTGTCCAAACATGTGTGTTGTGATCAGATCATCCCTCTTGTTGCACTCAGCAGTAGTGAGGGTGGGTCTATGCAAATATTCCGTCCCCTTTGTCTTTGTGACATCTAGAGGTGTGGTGAACAAAGGTGCCATGTAGTCCACGCTTTCCTCTGGTACTCCAGCTTGCCTGCACAAATTAGTGATTAGTCCCTCAAAAGCATACCTTCGACCTTAATGCACTCTAGCTTTTCGCAAGGATGATTTCAACAATGTGCCCACGTTGATGGGCAAGTCTTTCATCAGAGCATAGACCAAGCACACTCGGTCTCTCATCACCTCAGTGAAATGTAAACCTTGTATTAAATAATTCATGACAATTTTAAGCCACACTCGGGATTCTTGATTCATGTGTGCATAAGGGTAGGACTGATGATAGTCGAATCCACTTAGCAGTAGGCTGCGCGCCACACAAAATGTGTTGAATCTGCTGATACAGAGTGCTGATGTTTAAGCCAATCAGGATATCAAAAGGGGCTTATGAAGTGCCCAGTACTTGATTGATTGTTGGGGATGTAATAGAGACCTCCACGCCTCGCACAATTACAAAATGAGAACGACCATCAGGTTTTTCCAATTGGCGTAGAATTCCCGAACCACACTCCCGTTGCACTCCGACGGGTCTTGAAAAATGAATCCCATGCGCAAGTCTTGCAGGCGGCGCATAATCTGAGGGAACTACCTCTTCAATTGCACATCATAAAGTATCACATCCAAAGATTACTTGGCTTCGGTGTGTGATTTATACTACTTTTTGCCCTCAGATGTGACTGCCTTAGCCCCGTAGCGTTGGGTCTGCCCTCGTGGGACTGCGCATGCAGGGGGAATTATTGTGCCAGTCCTTACTCTCTTATGGCTGCTAGACACCACCGCTTTTTCAGACCTTTGTGTGCCAGATATGATATCCTGCAATGAGACAATTACAATTTCAGGTAATGTGACCCATTCATGAAAAATTTACCCCACACTTATTTTGAAGCACCAATATCACAAACAACAAGGTACTCAGACTTTCCAATGTTGTTTTCATCATATTATTCTAACCCCCACATAATTCAAACACAAAAACAACCCATGCTAATTTGATTCTACTCAAGAATTCGAACCAACAACCAAGCTTTTACTCAAGCATTCCCATTATAATTAAATTTGCTACTCAAGACTTCACAACACTCAATGTTTAACTCACCGATTCAAAATATCCCCTTCTTTTACCAACCAAGTTCATTCTAACAAGGTTTACAACCATGAACATCATTAATGCTTAGACCCACGAAAAATTGAAGAACTTGGTGAGAAATTTCCAATTCGCGACACAAATTTGTTTTTGAAAGAAAAGAGTTGGGGTTGAAGGGGAAAGGGAATTGATGAAATTATGTGGAGATAAATGGGGTTAAAAGGCGGATTTGAGAATTAAAAGAGCATGGGGGTCAGGTGTTTACTCTATTAGCCGGGTAAAACCCGACTTTTTAATGAAAAGTATTTGGAATTACTTACCAGGTCCGCGACGCGGAGCTGTCGGAGACACTTTTTACACTCTCAGGTTTCACCACGTGGGAGGTCATATGCTTGGTGGAATCCAGTCCGCGATGCGCTCAGGTCGTGGACTCCACTGTTAGACCCTTGCGATTATTGTAATTCCCAACAACAAGTCCACGACGCGGAGCTTTCGCGGCCTTCCCTTGTACTTTTGAGCTTTCTCCTTGGGCAACCCTTACCATGCAATAACAAGTTCGCGACACGGGCAGGTCACATACTCTACTATTTTTCGCCGAGATTTTTTTTTATTACATATTACAACTTGTAAAATAAATAAACTAACCTATAACTAAAAACAACAAGAACTCACCTATCAAAACAAAATAAAAATAAAAGTCCTCTATAGTACAAACTCATGGGTTGCCTCCCGAGAGGCTCCTGATTTAACGTCGCGGCCCGACTCCGCTCCCCATCATTCATTGCTTAAATCCAATCTCTCTTCTTCTAGATCTACCTCTTGTCTGTAGTAATGCTTCATCCTCTGTCCATTCATTATGAACGTGGATTGCTTACCTTCATTCCACAACTCTACATCAAATGGTCTGCTCCATTTTGACTTCAGCTTACCTGGAAACAACCGCAATCTAGAGTTAAACAATAATACCTTTTGACGAAACTCAAAGAGTCGGGATACATTATTCTTATCATGCCAACGCTTAGTCTTCTCCTTATAGAGCTTGGCATTTTCATAGGCATGGAGTCTGAATTCTTCCAATTCATGTAGCTGACCCATCCTTTTTCTTCCGGCTAATTCAGGATCTAAGTTCAACTTCTTCACTGCCTTGTAAGCCTGATGTTCTAATTCAACTAGAAGGTGACACGTTTTACCAAACACCAAGTGGTACATAGAAGTCCATATTGGTGTCTTATATGTTGTCCTGTACGCGCATAAAGCATCATCAAGTTGCATTGCCCAATCTTTCCTTTGGGCATTCACTGTTTTCTACAGAATCTGTTTCACCTCCCGGTTTGACACTTCTACCTGGCCACTGGTTTGAGGGTGATATGATGTAGCTACCTGAATCCATATTTAGCTAAGATATTCTTCACCAATTGATTTATGAAGTGCATCCCTCCATCACTGATTATTGCTCTAGGAGTTCCAAACCGGGGGAAGATATGTTTCTTCAGAAACTTCAGCACTGCTTTAGCATCGTTAGTGGGAAAAGCTACTGCCTCAATCCACTTTGACACATAGTCCACAACCACAAGTATAAATTGATTTCCATTGGATGAAGGGAATGGTCCTATGAAGTCGATCCACCAGACATCAAATATTTCGACCTCCAAGATGTTATGCAAAGGCATCTCATGTCGTTTGGAGACAGTCCCCATCCTATGGCATTGATCATAATTTTTCACATACCCTGCAGCATCTTTAAACAGAATTGGCCAGAAAAAACCTAATTGGAGCAACTTATGTTCAGTTCGCTCACCTCCATGATGACCTCCATATGCAGATGAGTGGAAAGTATCCATCACTTGTCTCATCTCAGATTTAGGCACACACCTCCTCATCATTTTGTCAGGACCTTGCTTGAAGAGATAAGGCTCATCCCATATGTAGAACCGAGCATCATAAATCAGCCTCTTCTTTTGATGTGTGGTTGCATCCGATGGGAACAATCCGCTTACCAAATACTCCCTTCATTCCATATTAACTTAAGCTTTGAGGTGTTTCACACCCTTTAAGAAAAGTAGGTTTGGACATAAATTGAACATAATTTTTCATTTTTACCCTTATTAATTATTGTCAAAAATAACTAAACATTAATTATAATAACTGATTCCAATACTAACTTAAAAGGGTAAAATTGGAAGAATATTTTAAAAATAGTCTTGGAGATTGAAAACTTAAGTTAATTTGAAAAATGAAAAAAGGGCTCAAAGCTTAAGTTAATATGGAATGGAGGGAGTAATTAGCAATATTTGTATAATATGGTAGTTCTATCACCTCTAGCGCCAATAGTTGTTCATTAGGAAACTCTTCCGGAATCTGACTTTTCTCCCCCACATGTGACGAACTCTCCAACCTGGACAAGTGATCTGTAATCTGATTTTTAGAACCTCTTCGGTCCTTGATCTCTATGTCAAACTCTTGCAACAATAGAATCCTCCTAATCAGCCACCGCTTTGCACCCTTCTTATTGAAAAGGTACCTGATAGTTGCATGGTCAGTATAAACAACAACTTTAGTCCCTACCAGGTAAATTTAAATTTGTCAAAAGCATAGACTAAGGTTTGCATTTCTTTCTCGGTCACTGTGTAGTTGGCTTAAGCTGCATCCAGTGTTTTACTTGCATAATAGATTGAGTGAAACACCTTCTCTTTCCTTTGCCCTAACACTTCTCCTACTGCTACATCACTTGCGTCACACATCAGCTCAAAAGGAAGCTCCCAATTTGGGGAAGTCAGGATTGGATCTTCTATCAGCATCTTCTTCAAGGCTTCAAAAGCTTGAATGCATTGCTCATCGAATACAAATTTCATCTCTTTCTCTAGGAGACTGCACATGGGTCTTGCAGTCTTAGAGAAATACTTAAAGAATCTATTGTAGAAACCAGCATGACACAAAAAACTTCTAACTCCTTTAACAGAGACTGGGGGAGGTAGATTTTCAATGACTTCCACTTTGGCACGATCAACTTCCATCCCTCGCTCTGACACCTTATGTCCCAATACAATTCCTTCCGTCACTAGAAAATGACATTTTTCCCAGTTTAGGACGAGATTAGTCTAGCCAGCACCTTGTCTAAATTCTCCAGACACCTGTCAAAAGAGTCCCCAAAGACTGAGAAGTCATCTATGAATATCTCCACAAAATCTTCAACCATATCATAAAAAATGGCTATCATGCATCTTTGGAAGGTGGCTAGGGAATTGCATAGTCCAAACGACATTATCTTGAAAGCATATGTCCCATACAGACAAGTGAATGTAGTTTTCTCCTGGTCCTCTGGTGCAATCACGATTTGGTTGTATCCTGAATATCCATCCAGGAAATAATGATATTTTTGCCTAGCTAACCTGTCCAACATCTGATCAATAAAAGGAACACGGTAGTGATCCTTTCTAGTGGCCTCATTCAATTTCCTGTAATCCATGCATATTCGCCACCCTGTCACTATCCTGGTTGGAATCATCTCATTCTTTTCATTGGTGATTAATGTCATGCCTTATTTTTTAGGCACACACTGAACTGGGCTTACCACTTGTTGTCTGAAATCAGGTATACAATACCCACATCCAGTCATTTAATCACCTCCTTGCGCACCGCATCTTTCATCACTGAGTTTAGTCTACGTTGAGGTTGTACACTTAACTTGTGGCCCTCCTCCATAAATATCTTATGCATGCATAAAGCTGGACTGATGCCATGTATGTCAGCCATATGCCAGTGTATCGCCTTTTTCCTCTTCCTCAAATATTTTCAGAGAGGCCTCAACCTGAACTTCAGACAAAGCAGAAGTAAGGATTACATGTAATGATTCATTGGCACCTAGGAGTGCATACCTGAGATGAGAGGGAAGAGCCGTTAACTTCAACTTCGGTGCTTCTTCAATTGATGGCTTAGGAGGTGGTCCAAAGACCCTGTTTAATGGCTCCACAAACTTGCGAAGCATACTCACATTTGGGACATCTAGAATGCTAGCCAACTCCTGGGCTTCAACATTCCCCTCAATGTCTTTCCCAATTAACACTTTCTCTAAAGGGTCTCAGGCTTCAACATATTTAGTTGTTGTTTCCTCATCAATGGTTGTAATTGCTGACAACTCCTCATATATTGCAGGCAAGTTCATTTCCTTGTACACATCAAATACCTCTACCTTGTCATGAGCCCTTATTGTCAGTCTACCAGCTACCACATAAATTAACGCACCATAGGTTGCTAGGAATGGGAGTCCCAAAACAAATGGGAACTCTGGGTCAGGCTCAAAATCCAAGAAGACAAAGTCTACAGGGAAGATCAGAGTTCCCACTTGGACTAAGACATCCTCAATAACACCATCTGGCCTTGCTACCATACGGTCGGCTAATTGCAACATTATGGTTGTGGACTTGGGCCTTCCTAGTCCCAACTTGAGAAACATGGATGTAGGCATGAAGTTGATACTTGCACCCAAACCGCACAGCCCTCTTGCCTCAATGCACTTACCAATTTCTCTTTGTACAGTAAAACTCTTTGGATCTTTCAACTTAGTTGCAAACCTATTCTGGATCCTAGAACTGCACTCCTCAGTGAGTGCCACTATTGCATACTCCGCCAATCTACTCTTGTTGGCCACAAAATCTTTCATATATTTGGCATACTTAAGAATGCCCTACAACACATCAATCAAAGGCAATTTAGCATGTACTTGTTTAAGTAATTCAATAAACTTACCAAAACATTCCTCCTCTTTCTGCTTTTTACATTTCTATGGGAATGGAGGAGGTGGTTTTGCTTTTGGTTCCTCATTCACCCTTTGCTCACTTGATTCAGCTTCATCTACCTGTTTTCCTTTTTCTTCAGCAGCTTTTGCCTTTGGTGTTAACTCCTCCAATGGAAGACCACTACGAGTACTCACAACATTTACCTGTTTTGGGTTTGGATTAGTATTTCCAAGGAAACCCCTTGTGGTCAAGAATTCTAGGCACTAGTGAACTGCCTAAACTGCTTCTCCAAATTCTGAGTCGCTAGTTGATTGTTTCGGACATCTGCTGTCAACTTATCTTGGTCAGCCATGATTTGTTTTAGCATGTCTTCCATGCTCATATCACCTTGTTTGACAGCCTGCTGATTACCATGACCTTGTTGGTTTCCATGTCTTTGCTGGTTGTAATGTTGTCCACTACCTTGTGGCCTGTACTGGTTCTGTCTTTGGTGTTGGTTTTGATTTACCCCTATGAAAAGTTTAGGTGGTTCCGCCAGCTTGAGTTGTAGGTATTGCCATAATTCTGGTGATTTCCTCCTTGCTGGGCATTACCTACAAAATGAACAGCTTCTGGGTTTGCTCCACATACCTCAGCAGTGTGATCTCCACCTCCACATACTTCACACCATGTTGGTGCTTGCTACACAATATTAACTTGAGCTTGTTGCTGTCCTAGTGACATGTTGCTGAAGTGTGTAGTCATCATATTCTGCATTGTTGCAATTTGTGTAGTTAAGGTTGTCACTGCATCCACTTCTAATAATCCAGTAGTCTTTTGTACAACCGGTTTAGCTCCTCCTCCATTCCACTCGGGATTACCTTGTGAAATTATATTAAGCGATGTAAACAACTCAACATATGTCTTCTCCAAAGCTTGTCCACCTGCAACAGAATCAAGTAAAATTTCTGTGTTTGGTTCCAACCCTTTAATGAAGGTGTGGACCAACACTTTGTTAGCTTGATGATGATGTGGACAACTCAGCAACATGGACTTAAACGTATCCCAAGCGGTATAATTTCTCTCCTCCTTTCTGTCGGAAGCTTAATATATCGCTTTTCAGCTTGGCTATTTTCCCGGATGGAAAAAACCTTATCAAGAACTTCTGGGCAAGATCATCCCAAGATGTTATGGAATTTGCGTGCTCAGAGTTCAACCATTTTCTTGCTTCCACTAGAAGAAAAAAGGGGAATAGGGTGAGCTTTACATAATCTGAGTTCACTCAAGTTAGAGTGTATATGTCACTAATCTTGAAGAAATTTTGAATATGCACTTGCGGGTCCTCATGAGATAGACCAGTGAACTGTCCATTTTTGTGCAATAGTTTCACCATGCTCTGCTTCAATTCAAACCTTCCACCAGCTGCAGGTTTCTGAATACTTGAAGTAACATTGGTGGTGCGTGGAATTGCCACGTCTCTCACTTTCATTTCTGCCATCACTGCAAGTGTGTGTTGATCCTCCCTTTCTTCTGGGAATTATGGTTCACTAGAGACAAGAGGAACAGGAAATGTGAGTCTTCTTTGCCTTCTCTGGTTCAGCTACAGGCTCTAACAAGTCCTGGTCGTCTTCCAGTGTGAAAACTTGACACAACCTGTAAAATGAATAGCCAAGATCAAGTTGTCGACACTTGTACAAATAATTTAGAAACTCAAAAATTAAATATCTGTTGATTTTAAAGTACCTGACAGCGGCGCCAAAAACTTGTTGCATCCAAAAGCACACGTAAGTGCACGTGGTCACTCAGATAGTACAGCGACTCTTTCGAGCCGGATTATCGAACCCAAATGACTTCAAATCAACAAACACTAACTTTATTGTAACTAAAATAAATTTACTTATGTGACAAACAATTTTAGGAATTTGTTTGTATCAACTGAATTAAATGATTTCAAATATTAGTCACTACAATTAAACAGTTTCAAACAAAGGAACATCCCAATTTGGGAAAATATTCTGGGGTTGTAGCATTTACTGATTTCAAGCATAATAATAACTTATCCTAGCATTTGACAGGTTAACCTCATTATTGATTCACAAGGTTAATTTTATGATCATGATGTCCCGACCTCTAATCGCCTACCACCATTGACAACCTAACTACATCGTTGAGCGGGGATAGGCATGAATCGACGGCAGAGCATTAAGCTATCATCTTGCACATCGATCAAATGCGGCATATATGTATAATACTATCCTATATACAAAACACTCTAAGTTTTACCCTAGAATGAACACGCTTCTCACATTCTTTGGTGTATCCCTCTATTCGTCTTCTGAGTTCAAGAGCGGACAACGAATTTATTTTAATGTTCATCAGTCATTAAAATAGTTAAACAAGAATGTAAACATCAATCATAAGAAAACCCATCTCATGCTAGAAATAAATAATATTACTCCATTAATCGTAGCTACTAGAATAAGGGAATTTAGCTACTCATATAATAGAACATCATCACATAATGTTCAAAGATCATAGAAGTGTTTACCAAAATGAAGGAGTAGAAGAAAAGCCCTAGATAAAGTCAGCAAGATCGCCCAAATCGCCTTTTCCCATTTTTCAAAAACTCAATATCAATAAAATAACAGAGTTGGACTATTTATAGTCTAAAAAATAAAGCACGTGCTGCAAATCTAGCACCCAGGTCCATGATGCGGATATGTGCCTTCGCAGTATGTTGTGAACATATCAATTTAGTCCGCGACGCGCTACCATCGCACACTCCTCTGTTAAGCTAAATTGTTTTCCACACGCTGGCTTCAACTCCGCGATGGGGGTGTTCCCTCACAATGTATTTTTCTAACTTCATGGCCATTTCTCCTTAACTACTTCGACTCTGAGTTCTGACCTCATGCATGATGTCCTTTTTCACTCCTTTTTCTTTCTTTTTACCCTGCAACATCTAATCATGTTGGTTAGAGGAAATACTATAAATGGACTCTAAAATTTCACTACCGATTAGGAATTTTCTCTCAAACTTAGCTAGATATACGGGATAAATTGGTTATTAGGTGCATAAATACGCCTAAAATCAAGCCTCCTCCTTGATTTGCAAGAAAATTCACTTCCTCATTATATAGAGTCTCAAAGTGTGCATCGTCGGGGTTTAATCCACTAACACCAACATCATTTACAATTTTTGACCCACTACCCATTACATTTTTTGACAAAATATCAAACTAGGTCATCATTTTGGCCATATTTTGGTCTCGCTCTTGGTCTTTCTCTATCTGCTCCTTTGTCATCCTAATGGTTAAAGGAGACACCTTGTCTTCCTGAGTGTACTAGGCTCTGTTTATTTTGGTCATACCATCAAGGAGATTAGATGCTATTTCGAAAGATTGTTGCATTATACCTCCTTGGACAAGTTGATCATCCACACCTTTTTTCACAGAGTCTAGACTCCGATAGAAGTGTTGTAGCAACACGTTGTTTAGCTGCCCGTGAGTCGGACATTGAAGTAACAACTTCTAAAATCTCAGCCATGTCTCATGGATTGGCTCACCTTCTAAATGTTTAAAGCCGTGTATATTATCTCTCAAGGACATCATCCTCGAACGAGGAAAGAACCTTATGTAGAATGCCTCAATAAGTTCATCCCAAGTGGTAATGGAATCCTTCGGTAGATCAGCTAACCATTTGGTTGCTTCCCCCATCAAAGAGAAATGGATCAACCAGAGACGGACTGACTCTTGTGAGATGTTTTTAAATGAGAAGGGACCACATACGCCCACAAAGTTTTGAATATGATCATGGGGAT